GGAGGATCTCACCTTCAAGGACCATAACATTGTATCAATCGCATCTGCTAGAAAAATGACAGGATGGATAATGAGAACCTTCAAAACTAGGGAGGCCAAGCCCATGATGACACTCTTCAGGTCACTTGTTCTATCTAGGCTGGAATATTGCTGCACTCTAACAGCACCTTTCAAGGCAGGTGAAATTGCCGACCTAGAAAATGTACAGAGAACTTTCACGGCGCGCATACGGAGATAAAACACCTCAATTACTGGGAGCGCTTGAGGTTTCTAAACCTGTATTCCCTGGAACGCAGAGGGAGAGATACATGATTATATACACCTGGAAAATCCTAGAGGGACTAGTACCGAACTTGCACACGAAAATCACTCACTACGAAAGCAAAAGACTTGGCAGACGATGCACCATCCCCCCAATGAAAAGCAGGGGTGTCACTAGCACGTTAAGAGACCATACAATAAGTGTCAGGGGCCCGAGACTGTTCAACTGCCTCCCAGCACACATAAGGGGGATTACCAACAGACCCCTGGCAGTCTTCAAGCTGGCACTGGACAAGCACCTAAAGTCAGTTCCTGATCAGCCGGGCTGTGGCTCGTACGTTGGTTTGCGTGCAGCCAGCAGCAACAGCCTGGTTGATCAGGCGCTGATCCACCAGGAGGCCTGGTCACAGACCGGGCCGCGGGGGCGTTGACCCCCGAAACTCTCTCCAGGTAAACTCCAGGTCTATAACATAGCTGAACCACTTGCCAAGAAGCTTCTTCATCGCTATCCCACATAAGAACACTGTAGAAGGTCTGCTCACAAACTTAATAATAAGGTAAAAGGACCCCAATGGAAATAAGTCACTCTGTCTGACTTTTTTGGGTTATCCTAGGTTCTCTACACATATGCTGCTATGTATGATAATTCTATGTAACTGTATTTGTGTATACCTGAATAAACTTACTTACTTACTTACTTACTAAACTTGTCCAATCTCCTTTCCAAGCTACCCAAGATTTTAGATTCTATAACCCCACTCGGTACATCATCGGATGCAGCATTCTCCACCTGACCTCAGCACTCTGAACCTGACTATAAATACTCGCGTTCCTTCCACCCCAGGTAGTTCTGTTTGTGACTTGAAAAAGCCCACTGTGTGGGCGAAACGTAGTCAATAAAGGATCACATTATACTGCATATGTGTTTATATTTCCATTGTGTCGGTATTTTATACCATTTATTTCCAACTGTTGACTGTCAGGTGAAGCAGCAGACAGCTGCACAACAGTGTGTAACAGCAGTTAAGGTCATAACCTCAAAAGTAACCTCAACAGTAAGTCTCCTGCTGCTTCTTGTAAACAGTAACAAGTGACTCTCTCAGGGACCTTTAATATAAACTAACAAAAACACTAGTAAAACACTAGTAGAACATTAGTAAAACACTAGTAAAACACTGGTAAAACACTGATAAAACATTAGTAAAACACTGATAAAACTAGTAAAACTGATAAAACACTAGTAAAACTAAAACACTATTAAAACACTGATAAAACAAACACTGATAAAACACCCATAAAACACTAGTGAAACACTGATAAAATACTAATTAAACAAACTGATAAAACACCCACAAAACACCTATAAAACTGGTAAAACACTGATAAAACACTAGTAAAACAAACACTGATATAACACCCATAAAACACTGGTAAAACACTAGTAAAACAAACACTGATAAAACACTAATAAAACACCCAAAAAACACTGGTAAAACAAACACTGATAAAACACATAAAACGCTGATAAAACACCCATAAAACACTGATAAAACACTAGTAAAACACTGATGAAACACTAGTAAAACACTGATAAAACACCCGTAAAACTAGTTTAACACTTAAAACCCACTAGCACGTTAAGAGACCATACAATAAGTGTCAGGGGCCCGAGACTGTTCAACTGCCTCCCAGCACACATAAGGGGGATTACCAACAGACCCCTGGCAGTCTTCAAGCTGGCACTGGACAAGCACCTAAAGTCAGTTCCTGATCAGCCGGGTTGTGGCTCGTACGTTGGTTTGCGTGCAGCCAGCAGCAACAGCCTGGTTGATCAGGCGCTGATCCACCAGGAGGCCTGGTCACAGACCGGGCCGCGGGGGCGTTGATCCCCGGAACTCTCTCCAGGTAAACTCCAGGTAAACATAAAACACTGATAAAACACCCATAAAACGCTGGTAAAACACTAGTAAAACAAACATTGATAAAACACCCATAAAACACTGATAAAACACCCATAAAACACTAGTAAAACAAACTGATAAAACACCCATAAAACACTGGTAAAACATCTATATAACACTGGTAAAACACCCATAAAATACTGATAAAATATTCATAAAATATCCATGAATCACTGGTAAAACAAACAATGAAAAATCACCCATAAAACTGATAAAACACCCATAAAAACTGAGAAAGAAACATAAAACATTGGTAAAATAAACACTGATAAAACGCCCATAAAACACTGGTGAAACGTACACTGATAAAACACCCATAAAACACTGATAAATCACCTATAAAGCACTCGTACAACAATAAAACTGATAAAACACCCATAAAATACTGACAAAAACAATAAAAGACTAATAAAACTGATAAAACAATATAACACTAACAAAACAGTGATAAAACACTGATAAAACTATAAAACACTTATAAAACACCGATAAAACACTCATAAAACAATAAAACACTGATAAAACAATAAAACACTAATAAAACAATAAAACACTAATAAAACAGTGATAAAACTGATAAAACAATAGTAAACTGGTTAACACTGGTAAAACTTTGCTTAAACGCTATTAAAAAGCTGGTATAACAGTATAAACAATCTTAAAACACTGATAAAATATATAACACTGGTAAAACACTATAAGACACTTTATATAAACCACTATAGATTAGATTTTGCCACTCAGGTGGCTGGTTTATTGTGCTACCCATATCTATCCTGTAGATGGTAGTGGCTGGTTTATTGTGCTACCCATATCCATCCTGTGGATGGTAGTGGCTGGTTTATTGTGCTACCCATATCCATCCTGTGGATGGTAGTGGCTGGTTTATTGTGCTACCCATATCCATCCTGTGGATGTATGGCTGGTTTATTGTGCTAACCCATATCCATCCGGGATGTAGTGGCTGTTTATTGTGCTACCCATATCCATCCTGTGGATGGTAGTGGCTGGTTTATTGTGCTACCCATATCCATCCTGTGGATGGTAGTGGCTGGTTTATTGTGCTACCCATATCCATCCTGTGGATGGTAGTGGCTGGTTTATTGTGCTACCCATATCCATCCTGTGGATGGTAGTGGCTGGTTTATTGTGCTACCCATATCCATCCTGTGGATGGTAGTGGCTGGTTTATTGTGCTACCCATATCCATCCTGTGGATGGTAGTGGCTGGTTTATTGTGCTACCCATATCCATCCTGTGGATGGTAGTGGCTGGTTTATTGTGCTACCCATATCTATCCTGTGGATGGTAGTGGCTGGTTATTGTGCTTCCCATATCTATCCTGTGGATGGTAGTGGCTGGTTTATTGTGCTACCCATATCCATCCTGTGGATGGTAGTGGCTGGTTTATTGTGCTACCCATATCTATCCTGTGGATGGTAGTGGCTGGTTTATTGTGCTACCCATATCCATCCTGTGGATGGTAGTGGCTGGTTTATTGTGCTACCCATATCCATCCTGTGGATGTAGTGGCTGGTTTATTGTGCTACCCATATCTATCCTGTGGATGGTAGAGTGGCTGGTTTATTGTGCTCCCATATCTATCCTGTGGATGGTAGTGGCTGGTTTATTGTGCTACCCATATCCATCCTGTGGATGGTAGTGGCTGGTTTATTGTGCTACCCATATCTATCCTGTGGATGGTAGTGGCTGGTTTATTGTGCTACCCATATCCATCCTGTGGATGGTAGTGGCTGGTTTATTGTGCTACCCATATCTATCCTGTGGATGGTAGTGGCTGGTTTATTGTGCTACCCATATCCATCCTGTGGATGGTAAGTGGCTGGTTTATTGTGCTACCCATATCTATCCTGTGGATGGTAGTGGCTGGTTTATTGTGCTACCCATATCTATCCTGTGGATGGTAGTGGCTGGTTTATTGTGCTACCCATATCCATCCTGTGGATGGTAGTGGCTGGTTTATTGTGCTACCCATATCTATCCTGTGGATGGTAGTGGCTGGTTTATTGTGCTACCCATATCCATCCTGTGGATGGTAGTGGCTGGTTTATTGTGCTACCCATATCTAATCCTGTGGATGGTAGTGGCTGGTTTATTGTGCTACCCATATCCAATCCTGTGGATGGTAGTGGCTGGTTTATTGTGCTACCCATATCTATCCTGTGGATGGTATGGCTGGTTTATTGTGCTACCCATATCCATCCTGTGGATGGTAGTGGCTGGTTTATTGTGCTACCCATATCCATCCTGTGGATGGTAGTGGCTGGTTTATTGTGCTACCCATATCCATCCTGTGGATGGTAGTGGCTGGTTTATTGTGCTACCCATATCCATCCTGTGGATGGTAGTGGCTGGTTTATTGTGCTACCCATATCCATCCTGTGGATGGTAGTGGCTGGTTTATTGTGCTACCCATATCCATCCTGTGGATTTGACATTTTTGTGTTATCTTGGTGGGTAATTTACATTACATATGATAACTACTTGTGTCTATATAAACTTATTTATTTAAATAAGCTTAATACACTTATTTACTTAAACTTCTTAATATACTTATTTAACTTATTTACTTATTAATATACTTATTTATGTTGTCAAGGGAAAGAGGGCAAGAGTTGCCATGTATTAATTGTGATTTAAGTGCTCTTGATCCAGGGAACTTGCAGCTACCTTTTATACCCACATATCACACCTCATTAACGCCCATCACCCCCCCCCCCTGGAGGTGCACGGTCCCTACAGGTTTACCGTCTGGCCATAAATCACTAAAATAATTGAAGAAGTTGGCACCCCTGAAGAGGTGCGCGCGTGCGCGTGCGCACTCATGGAAAAAACCTCAGTGTTCGGGAAACTTTGTGGCAGGAAGAGTTATTTACGTACAAAGCACAGCATAACGTACAGTGAATAACGTACATAAGACTTGTTAATAGTGTAGGAATACTTGTGAGTGGCGGGTTTATTAATGGTGTCTGGTTTATTATAACTGGTTTATTAATGGTGTCTGGTTTATTATAACTGGTTTATTAATGGTGTCTGGTTTGTTATAACTGGTTTATTGTTATGACTGGTTTATTAATGGTGTCTGGTTTATTATAACTGGTTTATTAATGGTGTCTGGTTTATTATTATAACTGGTTTATTAATGGTGTCTAGTTTATTATAACTGGTTTATATCAAGGTTGTACAATATCAAGGTTGTTACCTTGATGTTGCCGCTGTGATCATTTATGCCCTAAATTTTACTCCATATATCAAGGTTGATTTGTTGTATAATTATTTAGTACAAGTACATGTAAATATAATTATTTAGTACAGGTACATGTAAATATAATTTAGTACAGTTACATGTAAATATAATTATTTAGTACATGTAAATATAATTATTTAGTACAGGTACATGTAAATATAATTATTTAGTACATGTAAATATAATTATTTAGTACAGGTACATGTAAATATAATTATTTAGTACAGGTACATGTAAATATAATTATTTAGTACAGGTACATGTAAATATAATTATTTAGTACAGATATATGTAAATATAATTATTTAGTACAGGTACATGTAAATATAATTATTTAGTACAGGTACATGTAGTAAATATAATTGTCATATAGTATATATAAATTATCCACCAGGATAACACAAGAAAGTTATCAAGGGACTGTCCCCCAGGATGCCACCCACACCAGTCATCGGCTAACACCCAGGATGCCACCCACACCAGTCCACTAACACCCAGGATGCCACCCACACCAGTCATCGACTAACACCCAGGATGCCACCCACACCAGTCATCGGCTAACACCCAGGATGCCACCCACACCAGTCCACTAACACCCAGGATGCCACCCACACCAGTCCACTAACACCCAGGATGCCACCCACACCAGTCCACTAACACCCAGGATGCCACCCACACCAGTCCACTAATGCACAGGTACCCATTTAACTGATGGGTGAACATAGACAACCGGTGTAAAGAAACACGTCCAATGTTTCAACCTTGGCTGGGAATCAAACCTGGACCCTCACTGTGTGAAACCACCTGTTGCCACCAGGACACGGGGCACTGTGCCCAAGTTGTCCTAGTTAATCTCCACACTACTGTAAGTTTATTTACTTACAAGTACACATAAATACAGTTACACAAATTAGCATACAATGTTTGAAGCTAGCATTTTAGGTGACCTTAAAAATAGGCTGAAAATTGTCACCGAGATTATAAAGTCACTTAAGAATAACTCGGGGAATCTGTCTCATGTCCCACCATTATTGTACAAGCAAGCTGCCCATGTCCTTTCGCATGCTATTTCATTACTTTTTAACAAGTCTCTAGAAACTAGCACCTTCCCGAAACTACTCAAGACAGCAAGGGTTACACCAATACACTTGGTGTGGTGAAGAGGCTCTTGGTCTGAGGAATTAGACCTGTCGGTCTCCTTCCTCAGACCGAACCTAATTACCCCTCAATCCACCGTTCCCTATCCCATCCTCCTCATCTTCCCCTTTTTCATTTCCTCCTCCTCCTCCTCACCCCTCCCTTTTGCCCTTCCTTTTTGGCCTTTGGGTTTTTTGTTTTTTTTTTCCCCACAGGCATGCTAGTTCCTAGGTAGGGGAAAGGGTACCGGGGTCCATCCCATTCCGTTGAGGTTCTTGGCGGTGGTGTAGTTTGCCATGGAATCTGGATTCCCTGTCTCGATCCCTCTCTGGTATCCCGGAGGGTGGCTTTGGGTGTCTCTCGGGCAATGGGTGTATCTCTGGAAGCCACCTTTCGGATTCCGGGGGTGGTGGCCAAAGGAGGTATGCTTTTTGGCGGATTTCTGGCCGCCCTCTCTTTTGTCCACCGAGGTAGCTCGGCAGATGTGAGGTTGTTATCCTGGATTGCCGGTTTACTGGCATGATGGGTAGGGTATGGCACGGGTTCCATGCTGCATCTGCGCTACTTACGGTGCTGAGGTCCTCTTGGACGCGGAGGGAGATTTCTGGCCCTTTCATTCCACCTAGGAACTATCCCTCCCCGGTCCCCACCTTTTTTTATTTTTATTTTCTTTTCTTCTTTTTTTTTCTTAAAAACAAAAAAGAAAGAAGTAACCTAACCATGGCAGCCCTAGTCCATGAACCTGCTACCCCCAGGCCCCTTCTTGATACCGCACCCCGTTCTGACCCCGCCTCATCTTTGGACCACTCTTCGGACACTCCTCTTGCCAGTGCTGTTTCCTCACCCGCTTCAGGTACTGAGGCCTCGACTGACTCCTTCGATTTATCTGACCTTCGCTCTCCTCTGACTATGCTTCCGGCCTCTCCCTCTACGGTGCGGCAATTTTCGAATCGCCGGCCCGTTCCACGTCAGACCAACTCTGGTCCCACGCCTAAACGCCAACGACAATTACCTGCTGATGATACTTCTCCACCTTCTCGTTCTTCTCAGAAAAGATCGACACGTCCTTCACTACCTTTCCACGCTCAGTTTCAGACTGCACAATGGACTAAATTCTTCACTTTACGACCACCTTCCTCTACTGCCTATCTTTCTGACCACAGTATTGGCAAGGCACTCCTATGCCATGTTGGTAAAGATATTTCTTTTCATGCTCTTAAGAGCGGTACGCGCATCATAACCGTACAGAATGCTACCCAGGCTCATGAGCTTTCTCGTCTTTCCCATATCGATACTGTTCCTGTCACTATTGAAAAACATCATTCCCTCAATTCTTGTAGTGGTACCGTCATTCTGCCCCATACCATAGTTCAACAAAATTTCCAGACGTGTGGCACTGACATTCTTGAACAGCTGGAACTTCAAGATCTCCCAATCCTCAAGGTAGACACTTATGTTCTTCCTGCCCGCGGGCGGAGACGATACCCTAGCAATGTGGCTCGTTTAACTTTTGACAGCCGTGAACTCCCATCCTCAGTTTATGTAGCAGGACATCGGTTACAAGTTCGAAAGGTGATCCCTACACCGCAACAGTGTAGAAATTGCTGGCGATTTGGCCATCCAGCGAAATATTGCTGATCTATCGCCGAATGCCCGTCTGTGGTGCCGATGACCATTCTAATATGTCTTGCAATCGACCTCCCTCTTGCCTTAATTGTCATGAGGCTCACCCTTCGTACTCTCGCCGTTGTCAAGTCTACTTAAACGAGTCGGGAAATCCGTTACCTCAAAGAGGCAGAAGGTCTCCCTTATGCCATGGCAGTTTCTCATCTCTGCCTCCAAGGGAGACTGCCTCGTGTTTCTTATTCCCGTGTTTCAAAACGTCCCCCCACTTTTGGGATCCCATCTTCTGCAACCACCTCTGTGGTTACCTTTCCCATAGTCTCTCCTGTATCTAATTTTTTGCTGTCCTAGGCTCAGACGTTCCTACTTCAACGCCTTAGTCTGATCTCACTTCTTCGTGTTCTCCCTCACAAGCCTCAGTAGCGACGAGATCTCGTATGACACCTCCTCCTAATCATCCCTCTACTTCTCAAAAGTCAAAAAAAGGTCCGTTAACACCTCCTACCCATCTTCCACCTCCTCATTTTACCTTCCGTGTCTCTGTACCTGGTTCTTCCCCTCTCACTGGCTCTGTTACAAGTGTAGAGGTTCACCCTCCTCCTCATACTGTACCTTCCTCCCCTGTTCCCTCCCAAGTTTCTTCCTCTTCTGCCACCTCCCAGGTTTCTGCCTCTTCTGTCCCCTTCCACGCTTCTCCAGTTCCCTCCACCCTTTCGCCTCCCCTACCTTGGTACAGTCCATTACAGTTCCAATCTTTACTCATCCTCCCCCTACCATTTCCAATATTGTCTCCCATACGAGGTCTCTGAATTCTGAAACACTTGAAGCAATCTCTGAATATATTGCAGAGACCAAACCATCAATGGACACTGATCCACCCTCCGTTCCTTCTCTCTCCTCTGCTCCATCTGCGCAACTCCTTTCTTCACAGCGCACCATTCCTTCGCTGCTTGAACGTTTTCCACTGCCTCCGCATGTGGACTTTTCTAACCCCTCTAGTCCATAGGAACCCTTACCTGCGGATTTCAGGTATCTTTATCATTGCCAATCATGGCCTATTTACAGTGGAATATACACGGCCTCAGGGGTAATCGGGGTGAGCTTCAGATGTTACTCTCCCAGTCTTCCCCTGTTGGTGTTTGCTTACAGGAACCAAAATTACACTCTGCTGTTATCTCTCCCATCTCAGGCTATAATTTATTGTATTCTTCAGATCCTTTTCCTGATGGGACCTTTAATGAAAGTGCCCTTCTTCTATGCACTGATATTCCGTACCATCAGCTATTTGTTTGTACTTCGCTGCATTACACAGCAGCCCGTATCCACTTGCCTAGGTGGTATATGCTCTGTTCTTTATATCTCTCTCCTTCTCGGGCATTATCTATTCCGGATATTGCCTTTCTTGTTTCGTCATTACCGCCACCGATTCTGTTACTTGGCGATTTTAATGCCCACCATTTCCTCTGGGGGGGGGTCTCACTGTGATTCCTGTGGCATTCAGTTAGAGGCTTTTCTTGCCACCCACCCTCTCCATGTTTTAAATACAGGTACTCACACCCATTTTGATCCTCGGACTCACACACTCTCTCAGTCTGCTCTTCCTCCACCGCATTAGACTTCACTTGGTCTGTTCTCCCGGACTTACATGACAGCGATCATTTCCCAATCATTCTTACTTCCCCTTCATATTCACCACCTCTTTGCATCCCACGCTGGCAATTTGATCAGGCAAATTGGAACCTTTACTCAAACCTAACTGTTTTAGAGAGGTTCCTTCTTCGTCCTCCATCGATGAGCTTTTACACCTCTTCTCGTCCTCCGTTTTAACCGCAGCTTCTAATTGTATACCCCAAACTTTGAGCAGGCATTCTCAGAAATGCGTGCCTTGGTGGTCTCCTGCTT